AGGCAGAACTGCAGAAGCTATTTTCTGCCGGGAGCTGCTGCTGATCTTGCACCACAATGCCCTCTTGTGGGCAAAAGGCGGAACTGCAACAACATTTTGGCAGAAGCTTTTTTCTGCACAAAAAATTAAAAATATGCGGGACTCGTTAATTATGCACACAGGCAGTAGCGCAGAATTCCCCCAGGAGTAATAGAAGTTTCAGTCAATCAGTCAGGGGACAAAAACAGTATCATCTGACTTAACTAACCACTAACACACCATGAACAATAAAGAGGTGAAGCAAATAGTTTGGGAGCCACTCAACAACTGAGACATGTCCATATAAAGCATTATCAATCAGTTGAAAATTACAAACATTTCTAAACAATTAGTATCCTAATTTGTGAACAGAAGAAAGTAACGGCTCTGGTCATTCTGCATTGCTGTTAGTTTGCCTGGCTGCAGTCATGACTGAACCACTGCATACAATATTCATTTGCACGAATACAGCTAACATTCCTCCACCAATCAGAGTAACCACGTTCATCTTGTTAATATTCAACCAGCTCTGCTGGTGGTTGAACTGAATTTTTCTTGGTACAGTCTCATTCCTAAGTAAACATTTATAACATCACATAGATGGATACAGTTTATCTCACTTTGATTTGAAGTACTTGTGGCACCTTAGAGACTAACAGATTTATTTCAGCATAAGCTTTCATGGGCTACAGCTCACTTCTTCAGATGCATAGAGTGAAACACACGGACAGAAGATATTTATACATACAGAGAACATGAAAAGGTGGAAGTACGCATACCAATTGTAAGAGGCCAATCAATTGAGATGAGCTATCAGTAGCTGAGGGATTGGAGCAAATGCGGTTGTATCTTAGAGCTTGGCTGTAGATAATGGATCATGTGGTGTGTCCTGGATGGAAGCTGGAGGCATGTAGGTAAGTATAGCGGTCAGTGGATTTCCGGTATAGGGTGGTGTTTATGTGACCATCGCTTATTAGCACAGTAGTGTCTAGGAAATGGACCACTTGTGTGGATTGGTCTAGGCTGAGGTTGATGGTAGGATGGAAATTATTGTCTACAGCCAAGCCCTAAGATACACCACATTTGCTCCAATCCCTCAGACAGAGATAAACGCCTACAAGATCTCTATCAAGCATTCTTAAAACTACAATACCCACCTGCTGAAGTGAAAAAACAGATTGACAGAGCCAGAAGAGTACCCAGAAGCCACCTACTACAGGACAGGCCCAACAAAGAAAATAACAGAACCCACTAGCCGCCACCTTCAGCCCCCAACTGAAACCACTCCAGCGCATCATCAAAGATCTACAACCTATCCTGAAAGATGATCCCTCACTCTCACAGATCTTGGGAGACAGACCAGTCCTCGCTTACAGACAGCCTCCCAACCTTAAGCAAATACTCACCAACAACTGCACACCATACAACAAAACACTAACCCAGGAACCTATCCTTGCAACAAAGCCCAATGCCAGCTCTGTCCACATATCTATCCATCATAGGACCTAACCACATCAGCCACACCATCAGGGGCTCGTTCACCTGCACATCTACCAACGTGATATATGCCATCATGTGCCAGCCATGTACATTGGCCAAACTGGATAGTCTCTAAGCAAAAGAATAAATGGACACAAATCTAACATCAGGAATCATAACATTCAAAAACCAGTGGGAGAACACTTCAACCTCTGTAATCTCTCACTGACAGACTTGAAGGTGTCAGTTTTGCAACAAAAAATCTTCAAAAACAGACTCCAAAGAGAGACTGCTGAACTCGAATTAATATGCAAATTAGACACAATTAACTTAGGTCTAAACAGAGACTGGGAATGGTTGGGTCATTACACTAATTGAATTTTTTCCCCCCCATGTTAAGTTCTCCTCACACCTTCTATGGATCATCTCGATTATCACTTCAAAAATTTTTCTTCTGCTGCTACTGATAGCTCATCTCAGTTGATTGGCGGCCTCTTACAATTGGTATGCGTACTTCCACCTTTTCATGTTCTCTGTATGTATAAATATCTTCTGTCCGTGTGTTTCACTCTATGCATCTGAAGAAGTGAGCTGTAGCCCACGAAAGCTTATGCTGAAATAAATCTGTTAGTCTCTAAGGTGCCACAAGTACTCCTGTTCTTTTTGCGGATACAGACTAACACGGCTGCTACTTTGAAACCTTTGATTTGAAGAGCATTGCTCAGAGAAGATCAGCATCAGAATTTTAAAGATGGCATAAAACTGATTTGGCAGAAATTGCTATAAACTATGGAAACCGGCATCTATTGTTATTGCCTGCACTGTCCTTTTTGCCACTGGGGTAGATTTTTTTTTTGTTTACTTGCCACTAGAAACCAGCTGTTTATGTAGCATGTGAAGTTTTCAGCACATGACTTGGATTTTTACTATTCTACAATAAAAGAGCACCCAACCAATGCTCTGAGCATCTTGGACAGTGTTTTAAAAGTACACTGATAAATAAGCAGACCCACCAATTAGCCCAGATCAAATCAAAGAACCCAGTTAGAACATATATATAACAAATTAATCAACCTCCTCACACAGTCCCCAGAGTCCCACACCACTACTACGCAGCCCTACCCAACATCCATCATGGGTACTGATGGAAAGGCTGGCCTTACCATGTACCCTGAAATTTTACAAATTCACACTCTTAGAGACCGTGGGGTGGGGTGGGGGAGTAGCAGCTGATCGATGCAGGGGAGCAATTCACATATTTATTAACTGGCCTAAAAAGTTGTGTCATGCAGCTGTTTGCATTGTTAAACCGGTGCAATGCTTTGCTCCAGAAGTGCTAGGTGAAGTAACTGCCATCTATAGAGGGCCTTTTCTTGCACTCATTGAAATCAACTGAGTTTTGGCTTTGACTTCATTGGAGCAAGATTGGGACCACAGTTTGCAAAGTGCTTTGAGGTCTCATAGTGTAAATGGCACTGTATAAATATAGGATAATTATAATCCTAATTGGAGTTTAGCCCCCTGAAATTTGACACAATTCCTTTGCGACACCCTTGTTGCCTGCCTCCATTTGCATCAATAATGTGAAAATCTGCCGCACATCTGTGGCCCATACAAAGGATAGAGAGCAGGTAGGGCAAGTTAGTGTAATTTGTGATCTGCTGCTATCAATGGTTAACACCCTATCATCAATGACAACTGTGCAATTAAGCTAGTCTCAGTTCTGTGCTAGTTAATACTCTGATAATATAATATTTTGACATTATCAAAATGAAGCATTGTGACATTATCAAAATACATTTTTTTTCAGACTATCTGTTCCAGGGAAAATTTCAACGTTTTTACTTTTCATGCTGATTTGGAACAAAGGCAGATTTCAAAATGTTGGAATTTCCCGTGGAATGGAAATTCTATATTCTGACTATCTCTAGTTTTTAATCACTCTCATCAGAGATGGTTTGTCCCACAATAGTATATTAATATCGAAAGACTCTGAACAATCTGTTTGCTTAACTTTCTGGGCTTTCTCCTAAAAAACACTTTTCCTTGTACTAGTTGCTTTGAATGCTTCAGAATTCCAATAAAAATAATTGGAGATAATCTCAGAAACCTAATTCTTCAGTCTCTGCAAATCGAGTTGTAAAATCTGCATTTGAATGGGAATAGATATTGTTTCATACATTATATTTATTAAATTGTTACTCCTATTTCTGTTTTGTGTAAACAGCTTTTTAAAAATGGGAATTTAAAATAAATGGGGAGAGGTGGTGGAGAAAAGACATTGTTATGTGGAGCTAGAGATGAAGCTACACACATTTATGGGGAAAGAAGGGTTTCACATTGCCACATATCAAACTCAGCATTTACACAGTTTTCTTTTTTTGGCCACGTCCCTCTGCTAAACCTGACATGGAGCCAAGGTGAAAGCAGAGATTTTCCCATTACAGAATACCAAATCTATGATAAGCCATGGCATGAAAATCCAGTTGAGGAGAAACCTAAAATAAAAAACAAACAAAACTGCTGCAAGATCAGTGATGAGTTTTGCATTACTTGTAAAATCTGTTTTTTCAGGGATCTTATAAATAAAAAGACATAGGATCAGTAATGTAACATGATGAGAACAACCAGCGCTTGCATTAGGAGAACTTAAGCAACAGTAAAAGCATTTTCAGCCTGTTGCACAGTACATATGCTAACTTTTGAAGCACCTGAAAAAGTTGTAAGCAGTTGCTACAGTAAAGGTGGTCTGTGAATACTGTACCTAAACTGTGGTCTTCTCAAGATATGTGTGTCAGCTTGCACAGTGATAAACTGAATATCAGCTATGATCTTTGCTATGTTCTGTGAATGGTTGTTCTCTTTTTTCCTAAGACAAGCACGTTCATCATTAAGAATTAAAACTAATGAACACTGCTGCTTTGCTCATCGTCATACTCTGATATTAACTACTATTAATAATAAATGCCAGTAAAACAGAGTGAGCTTCATTCTGGCAGCACTGGGTGAGATTTCAGTGCTTTTCTCAAAGATTAGTTCATAAAAAGGATTTCAGTATTGCAGCTTCTGAATCATTTGCCACGAGGAAAAAGATGACTGACAAAATGTGTGTGTTAGAGTCTGGAGGACTTAAGTGGGCAGAGTTCAGCTTAGAACTTCAGAAACCCCAGACAAGCCTGGCAACTAGTTATGCAAACGCTGAATTATATCTACTGCCTTCAAAGCCCAGTGGAGGTTAATTCAAGTTGTGTTTCTAATTCTGCGTATTTGCCAAAAACAAAATGGGAAACAAATAAGTTCTCTCCTAACAAATCCTTCATTGCCCCACTTGTATGTGCTGCCCTCTAAGCTGTCTGGCTGCCTTCCAAGCCTGAATCACATCCCTGGGCTAGCAGTAACCCCAACATCCCCTTTGACCCATCCTCCTTTGCCCTTGATCTCCCTTCACCTCCCTCCTGGAGTTTTCTGTACCTATTTAGACTTTTTACAAAGTATTTCCTTACCTGCATAGTGGTCAAATACAGTGGGCACGTACTCCTCCGGGAAGGCATCATTGGCATAACTCATCAGCAGACAGGTTTTCCCAACCGCACCATCCCCAACCACCACGCACTTCAACATCTTCTTCACGTTATTGCTGCTGCAGTCGGTGCTGTTGTCATCTTCTTCCTTGCAGTTCATTCTTGCTGGTGCTGCTGCTGGTCCCAGGACTTCCAAGTGCACATGAAGGAAAAATGAAGTGCGATTGTACTGACTCTTCCTGAGTTTGGGACGCTCTCAACCTCAGGAAATCATACTAATATTTCCAGGCTGTTCCAGCCGCCTCGAGCAATTACCATATCCGTAAAGAGAAGCATTGAGGTAAATAAATTATACATCGATTTTAAAAAAAGGATTGTCCTTTCTTGTGAGCTTGAGTCAGGAAACACTCATCCTGTCACAGAGACCTTGATATTTATTGCAACTTTAAAAATATCAGCAGTCTGAGGTGTTGATTCTCTTCTCCCCTTCTCCAGAGGAATCGGGGATTCCTGCTAAATCCACTCCATTTTCCATTTCATGTCTAACATGGAGGAAAGCTGGAGGTTTTTAATGGAGTTTTTCCTTTCTTTCTTCAGCTTGCTGTGTGTCAGGAAATCATGGGTTTCCTGCTGAATTCCATATTAGGATCAGTGGGCTTGTGAAGGGCTGCAAACAATAGGAGCTCTGTGTGTGTTTGTACTTTAGAGGAACTATGCCAGGACATAGAGTAAGAAAAACACTAGAGGTCTCACTGCGGGCTAAAGTTGTTAAGCTTCCTGTTTCATCTAAGCACTCAATGCTGTTCTCCGGGCTGGCTGAGATGAGGCTGGTGCTGACTGATAGATACGTAGATGATTTTCAATGGGGAATGCTATGCAAAATGGGGATTCAGGCTTAAATGAATAAGCAGGGAATGGCAGGAGTTCTATAAGGGAACCAGCCTGTAAAATGTGCAATACAGTCTATCTTAGGGTTTTCTGCTGCCACCCATCACTGCAGTATCGGAGCATCTTGGGGTGTGCTTTTTCTTTTGGGGGTGTTGGTACATGGGAGTAGAATTGAACACAAATGCTTTCCTATGTAAATACCTCTTTAACAATTTGGGTAAAGTAATAAATCAGTCAAGCCAGGAACTAAGAAAATATCCTCTCCTGTCCCCCCCAAAACAAACAAATGAAATTTTTTCTGGTATAGGTGTGTGTGGAGGGAGGTGGGGTGAAAGAAAGCAAATGATGAATTGGGAACTACAGCTCTTCAAAGGGAAGGCTACAGGGCAAAGCTACAGAACAGCCTGCGTAAAACCAGAGTTAAATGGCATAGCTTTTACTCCCTAAAAACTCGAGCAATGTGTGGTCCAGCACAGTTTTGCTATAGTATTTCATATAGTTCTGATCCTCCTTTTAATTTTATTATATAACTGTCCCAAAGATCCCACTGTGGGTAAACACTTAGGGCCAAACCTTGCTCTCTCTACACCTGGAAAACTGTGCAATCTCTAGCAGAAGTGAGTCACTAATTTGAAAACAACCCCTTTCTCATTTCAGCCGTTCTCTTCCCTGGGCATCCCAGTGCATGCTGCCCACTCTGTGTCTGCCGTACTTAGACTGTAAGGCCTCAGAGCAGGGAAACAGATATGGAGCTAATCCACCGTGAGGTAACAACAGGCAAGGCTTTACTGAGGTGTGACAAATGCCCTGCCTAGCTCATGGCTTCCCAGAAACAACAGGCTGCAGCCTCACAGTGTTGGTGGGGAAGCACCCAGGGGTTGGGCTCTAAGAAAGAGACCGCTCCCCACTTCAAAGCAGTAAAGACTAATAGGGCCATCTTGGCCACATAACTACAGTCCTGAGTGGTCACACCCCACTGTTGTAATGCAGCAGGTACAGCAGGGACCCCCTGAGACACCACCCTTTAAGGGCCCAGTCCAAAGCCCATTAAAGTCAATGGGAGTCTTTTCAGTGATTTAAATTGGCACTGGAGCAGGCCCTCACTCCTTTCCCATGGAGCAGCGGATGTGTGTAGAACACTGGGTATTGCAGAGTCTGTACTAGCCAGAGAGCCGAGCACGTCTCCACTGTCTGCCTTTAAACTCTCCTCTGGGGTCTTGTTTGTGATGAATCTTTGATCCCCCCCATTCCTCCTCTTGCTCCCTTTCATGAGCTGATCTAAATACGAAGCCTTAAGCCATCTGCCACAGAGCAGCGCTCCATACAACAAGGGTTACGGAGAGGTTCCTGAGTAAACTCTTCACAGCCTGCCTCTCCTTGCTCAGTGTCCTGACAACGTGTGGCAGGACAGGACCCACCGTATTGGCTTCCTTGTCCTACATGGGCAAAGTTACCCAATTACCTAGTGATTTTAATGAAGGGTTTAAGCTGCTCTATTCTGCTGCCCCCTCCTTCCTTTAAAGGGACCCTCAAAATTGGCCTTTTGCTGGTGGTTCGGGAAACATTTGGGAGGAATCGGTTTTAATTAAGACCTGACAATAAAGGGATCTAAACCCCCCTCTCTCTCATCTTGGCAGCAACTATTACAGTGCAGTGTTCACTTTTGGCCATGATCTTAAAGACCAGCTAATGGCTCTCCTTGAAGAGGCCAACATGATGATTTATGAGATTAACTTTAAAGTGAGCAACGCTGACGTCTTGCCCATAAATCTCTCTAATTCAGCACCATCATTTTGCTCTACAAACATAAACAATGTGAATAGACTAGCTTAGCCGATTGACCAAAAAAAAAAAAGCATAAAGGTCTGTACCTGGACTAAAAGCATATGTTTTCTTTAACATGGGTTGGCCCCATTCACAACGGCCAGATCAAAATGTGGTTTAGTTGCAACCAAGTTTATTAACTGTTGTTACAGTTTCTTTGGGCTGTATAGACAGAGCCACAATTAACCCTTCTGCTGCTCTGGGGGGCCCAGTGCTTTTACATCTGTGGTGCTGGCGCGAACTTGGCTGTGTGGATTAACAGCTCAGTGCTGCTGAACTTGAACAATGTTTGAGGCAATGCTAGTTGTTTTCTGTAACAGATTGCTGCCCCTAAGATACGTCTCTGAGATTTCTGCTGCGGAGGATGGTGAGCGGTTGAGTGGTTGTTCTCACGTCACCAAATGTTTTTCTTGCCTTCAGTGCTGGGTAATGGATGTTTCTTCAGAACTTTTGATTTCTTAACTGGCAGATTGGAAGTGTCAGTGTTGTAGGCGCACCTGATCCTTCTGCTGCATTTCAAATCTCCCGAGTCTATCTCTGCACAGCAGAGCTGTGTGGGAGTTCCGGGTTGGAGGATACGGGGTTGTTGATAGTGATAGGCAAAGCTCGAAAGAGCTGAAAATTTAGTTTTAGGTTTTCTGCAATTCTTTAAACCTCTCTGATCTGGATATCAGGTTCGAGTTTTTCAGGTTCTTTTTCATGAAATTCCCAGTGCTTCCTAATTTGCCAGCAGTTCACAAATACTTGAAGAGCAGCCTAGTTCCCTCAGAATTTCTGTACCGCCACTTCCAGCCAAAGTCCTAAAGAGATGAGGAGTGTGAACATTCAAAAGACATAAAGAAAAAGTTAACCCAATTCATCCGAATCTCCAAAAAGGCTTGTTTAGCATTTTGGGTAGAGACTATGGTCAGTCCCTTCCTTGTCCAAACCAGTTTGCCCATCATTGCTTGTTGCAAGGTGCTAGCAAAGGGCACAGCCTCAAGTGGGGAAGCTGACCCAAGCCAACGGGGGAAGTTAGCAGGGGTGGAGGGAACTGTGGAGTGTAACTGTCATTTGAGGCAGCTATCCAGCAGTTTGTAGGCAAAGCAGCTGTGTTCTGGGTGGCGTGCCTGCATTGCTCCCTGATTAACAGAGGGGTTACTGGCAGTAGGCCTAATCCTGTGAGCTGCTGAGTTCCTCCAACTCCCACTCATTCACCCGCATGGGTCACTTCCATCTTCAGCAGTGTAATTCTGACCAAGAAAGGAGCTGCCTTGTCCGTGATTCTGCCTGGGCCTGAGTCCCCACAGAGATTTCTGGCAGCAGCCACAGTGTTAACTGGTGAGATGAAGGACTTTTTAACTTGGCTGGTGCTAATTTGCTAATTAGTTCTACCACAGCTATTTGAACAATGCGTTTGCTAATTAAACCTATCCTACGAATCTCGTATATCCTGTAGTTAGGGCAGAGCAAATCAAGGTGAAAAAAAGAGTGGTACTGTATCCTCCCATCCCCTGTGATCTCACGCTATCTCACCTTGGCTCGTGGCCATGCTATCTCTCCACTGCTTTCACCGGATGAGATGTCTTCTGCTGCAGAAACATAAACAAACATAAAACTTGCAGAATCATCTGAGATTGTCCCATCACTGTTTTTAATATCATCAGATGACTCAGGTAGCATCAATCTGACAGTCAGATGCTTATCTGCCCTTTCTTTAGGCCTTGTTGCCCTATTCCTTCCCCCCTCACCTAACCAACCAGCTTCTTTCCAACAATCTTATCCTTCCTCTCTCCCTGCCACTCAGCTGATACAAAATCTTCTCTGCCTCTCACAGTACCATTAGCTCTGGATGATGTCTGTGGTCCAGACCTTGACTCCCTTTCTTGGCACCCACAGCTTCATTTTCCTCTCCAATTCTCAGTTTCTCTCCCCATCTCAGACCCTCAGCTTCCTTCCTCCTTCCAGCCTTCAATACCCTTCCTTTCATGTGGTTTCAGTAGGTCTGGCAGGCTCTGCTGGGCTCAGGCCAGCTCCCGTGTCCAAACCTCATGCTCTGAGGCTTTTTGGAATGGCTGTCAAGCACTGGTCCCCTTGGCCCCAGCTCAAGCAGAGCTGAAAATAGTTTGGCCACCAGCGTAGCTAGAGTGTTTTAACATTCAACAGCCCAGAGTGGGTTAGATCCTTAGTGCCAGCCTTTCTGGGTGCTCAGTGGGGATGGCAGCAGCAATGGATTCCGTCTCCCTCCCGAGAATGAGAGAAATGCTTATCAAAGACGTGAGCTGCAGAAGAGTCCGATGTAGCGTTTTGCAGAGAGGCAGTGTGGTCCAAGGGATAAGGCAGTGGCTTGGTAGCCACCGGACTTCAGATCTAGTCCCAGCTCTGTTTGTGACCTTGGATGAGTCACTTCACCTCTTTCCCACCTGTTGCCTAATCTACTTAGATTATTTAAACTCGTTAGGGCAGGAACCGTGTCTTCTTCTAAGTCTGTACAGCACCTAGCACAATGGGTCCTTGTTCTCACTTGGGGCCTAGAGGTGCTACTGTAATACAAATAAATACAAATGAAAAAAAAAAGATTCATCCGATGCTCTGTCTATACTTATGGCAGCCTGTAGAGTACAGGCACTACATGTGTAGCTACATGGCACAGGGACAGGTGGGCTGAGTTCCGACTTGTCACTGCAGTGTGTGTAGGTACAGTGCTAGAAACAGCAGTGTAGACGTGGAAGAGCCATACTCAGTGTTCAGGCAGGTAGGGTACTCTACTTGCCTAACCCAGGCCACACGGCTATTTATACATATGCTAGCTGGGCATGCAGTGCCCGTACGCTACAGGCTACCGCAACTGTAGACACAGGCTAAGAACCACAGTTTGGGGATCACCGCTCAAAATATTTGTAAGGCAACAACAAAGAGCCTGGTCAGTTCATTCGCAAAGCATCACTGCTTTGGATGCCAGAGCTGATTTGGGATATCCTGGGTCAGGGTCATGGGCGGAGGGTGAACACTCAG